ATGAAATGTACTGCCAACGTCTTACTTAGTTTTATACGTTGCTTTGCATTATGTTAATTGAATGTCAGCTTAAATTATTTTATCACAATGTCACACAGTGTGATTATATACGTAAACTGAAATTGGCTGAGCCTCGAGCAAGTTTATCCAACAGAAAAAGGGAATTTATAAGCAAATCCATTGTGTTTGAAACACAGGCAATTGGCTACCGTGATATTCGTACCTTGGACCCAATAAACAAAACTGTAATATTTTTTAAATGTTAGAATTCATTTGATTGATGCAACATCCTCTTATTCAAATAGATATATTAGCTCTGACCTAATAAACTAATTGTATGATACAATTTATACAGCATTAGTAGATTACACAACACGCAGTTGGAGAAGACATGATACAAAACAGAATTCGGTTAAAAAACGTCTCCACTAGAGTGAAACGCCATAGCGCTTACCCAGCTCGGAGAACCATGTAATGTGATGTATTTATAGAACCGTTACTTTTTCAACAATGACCTCCTTTTTCACAGTCTCTGAACTCTTGCTATTTGTGGGTCTGCTAACCATTAACCTCATGGATGGCGGGAGAGAATTCCGCCGCTGCTCACGCGGGCGCAGTTTTGCTATCATACCCTCCAGTCCGTTCGATGAGCTGACTTGTGAATTCCGCCTCATTTCACCACTTGAATATGAGTATTTTCGCCTCGAACTTGTTATTTTAGGAATCTGAGAACTTTTCACTCTTCGACACAACGAAATACAGTCCCTCTTAAACTGTGCAGTGAAGATAGCGTATAGGAAAGGGTTAGCGCAACTGTTCAAAGGAAACACGAAAACTGTGAATATTTTTGCATCTTTTAGGCTGACAAACTCTCCACCAAACGCTGCAGCGAGCGAGAAGACAGTTATGGGTGCCCAGCACGAAAAGTCTGTAAATATGAGAATTGCCATTCGTAGTGCAGTTCTTGAGTCATTTGTGTTCCAGGCGTTAGAGCCACGGATGGCGCTGTAAATTCTACAGTAGCAAGTTAATATGACGATGAACGCCGACCCATTGAGTATGAGCACTGATGTGACGTATACCAATGATTTCGTATTTCCAGTCTCAAACGGCAGACAAACGCTAAACTTGGTATAGTCACTGACATCGAATAACGGCAGTGTTGCAATTGTGAGAGCGATACACCAGCCGACAAGCATCACAAGGTACGTCTTTTTTAAGCTCATCTTTTTAGTGATGTCTAACGCATGCGTGATAGCAATATAGCGTTCAACAGTGATTACAGTCAGAGTGAAAACTGATGTTTCGCTTGACAATACAGCGAGAAACCCCGCTGTTCTACACCCTGGGCTCAATTGCCACTCGACACCATAGCTCCGAAAGTTTCCGAGGGTCGAAGCATCGACAACTGCTAAGAGCCCGAGATATACGCCCATGCACAAATCCGCTACGGCTAGATTACAGATCAGAAATCGAGATACGTCGATTCGTGAGCTGCGTGTAATGGTCACAAAGATAACTATGGCGTTGCCAAGCAACGCAAGCAAGAACACGATCCACACGCCGATCCGGAGGAGCGAGGAGTCCATGAGATCATCACACGGGAAGAAAGGGTCAGCAGGTTCAGGGGTGCACGTAACTTGGCGGTCACCATCTTCGTCGATGGAAATATCATCTATATGGCCAACATTGCTAACCTGACCCGAACCGACTGGTGGGGGAATTTCCGAGCTGCCGTCGAAGTCCATGACTGGGTCTACGCTTCCAGAACCAAAGCCTGACATGTCCTCACTGCCTGTGCTTGAGATAAAAGTTGAGTTACCCTCGTGGCTATTTCTGAGAAAAGTAATTTCTTCACCTTCAGCCCAGGTCCAAGAGTTCTTGAACTCGCTTGTTTTCGGCTCATCTGTCTTGATTGTACTTTCTTTCTTTTTACGTTGTTTCCTGAAGTCACAACAGTGATAAGGGTAGTGTGCTTCCACAGTTCGAATTTTGAGGAGTTTTGCCGCAGGTAACCCCTTTAGCTCTCTGTTGCCTCGCACCTTGAGGGTTTCAAGCGTTCCCAGCCCTTCAGCAGGAAGCACTGGAAAATAGTTGTTGCTCAGATCCCTGTAGACGAGATGTGCAAACACGTAAGCAAAGTCACTACACATAAATTGAGAACCCATGGATGTTTTTAAAGAGGTGTATTGTGTAAAAGGAAAGGATAACGACTAGAGAGAGCAAATCATTGAGACCCACTCGAAACCAAGTGTTTCAAAATTTTGCTGGTAGTAGTGGAAGCGCAGAAGAACTGTCGAAACCGTTATTTTCCCTTACTTTGCACTTTGCTAACCGATTAACCCCAGTTTCGGGTTGGTAGGAGGGGGTTCCTAAATGGGTGTCTTTCAAACGTGGGGGGGGGGATGACAGGTTGTATTGCCATCAAAATTGATCACTCTAGTCGACAAACAGGGTTTCGAAGGCTCGTTCCCCATCGCACCCTTACCCTTACTACCCACAGATTCTCTATTGTCCATCTTTAGCTACAAAGTCGTGAGCCTTCTGTTTGTACCATCTGGCTAAATTTCGTTCGTATGAGAATCAACAAAGAGGAATCCATCACTTTGTCATCACTGCATCGGGCATGTTATTAAAAGTCTCAAAAAGCGGTTGTTTTCTAGACAGACATTTCCTTTGTTCAGTTGTAAGGTTGGTGGGAAAACATTCCCTTTTATCTCCCCACCGTACAAACATCTGTTGATTGTCAAACGCGTGCATTGGCAGACTTCGTTGATATCATCGTTACATTTGGCAGGTTTACAGATTTTCCATTTTCCAGCGATAGGAATCAACTTTCAATAACTTGCCTAAGTCGGCAAAACTGAGGTTCACGGCTTCTTCAAGCATATTATCGTACTGCTGTCTCCTTATGCAATTTTCCTTTTCTGACTTATACTCCGAATTGTGAAACACAATTGTATGTACTTACAAGAATTTTATCATCTCAAATGGTGCAAATGCGTCGTCAGCAATGTACCTGATTTCATTTTCCGAAAGATTTCTATAAAAAGAATATGAGATAACGAAATCAATAAAGGGTTCCAAAACAAGCCATTGTGATGTACCCTGCCTAACAGCATAGTATTACCTTCTCAAGAATTGAAACAACAACTCGTAGCGCCCCCCTATGTATCATCATGCCTATCGATATTTCACTGGATTCCGGTTCAAGAGCTCCCATTTGACGGTGTAACACCTCCCCTACTTTCCGCACCCCTTCCACCTTCCTTTATGGATCCTACACAGGGCGACCCTAAACCACTCATCAATAGTGAATAAAATGATACTGCTTTGTTAAAAAGAGACATCTCATATACAAAAACAAGCTATAGCAATCTTAAAACCGTGTCAAGATTTTCATATCGATGTGATCAGTGAATTCGATATATTTTGAAAAGCGCGTAAAAGTTTGTAGCATGTAGAGAGAACAAAGTGACTTGCAAAGCTGCAGAATTTCCAAACAAAACGATATAGACCGTTTTGAAGTAAACTCCACTTACACGCTTACATCGACCCTCAGTCAAGAGCCTTGATGGCCTGTTTCCTGCTTGTTATGCCGCACAGGTATAATAAACAATTTGTAAGGAACTGGTCAACACTTAATACTTACAGAGTTTCCAGTTTCTTCACTCCTGTAAACGTCTGACTCGGTATTCCCTGGATTTTGTTTGCTTGTAGGGTTCTGTAAAAGAAAATGTTTCAGATACATTTAAAGATATTTTCTAATCTAATAATAACCTTTTAGAGATCCATGATTTAATTCATTTGTTCTGTAGCTGACTTCCTCGCTTGCTTGTTAGTTTTACTTGGGTCGAAACTTTTGTTTAATTACAAATTTGAAGGTGCAGATTATTGAAAATTTTTTACATAAATCCTGATTCCAGTATAGGAGTAACAAAACGCACTTACAAATCCATAAGACTTCCCAGATTTTGAAAGGACGTTTCGATGGACGTGATCTTGTTTTCTTCAATTTTTCTGTTGGAAAAAAAAAAACCAACATTTCATGTTTATGTCAACATGTCCGCGCATTCTACGTGGGGTTTCCCATAAACTAGTCCTGGTATCTGAAAACGGGTTGGGAGAACTTCGAACTTGATCAGTAAGTTAAATTGATCAAAAACGGAGAGGATATTTAAAACAGTTTTAGAGATGGTTGTTTCTCCAGTCAGAAATTTTGGTAAATTTTTATGACAGGGAGCTCGAGGAGGGAGGCGGACACAAGTTGCATTCTATCTCACTATAAAAACATCGATGACAAAATGAATTGTGAAAGGAAAAAGTGTATCTACTTACAAGACTTTGATCATATTTAATTTTGGAAACGCGTCTTCAGAAATGTGGGTGATTTCATTTTTCGCAAGATTCCTACGTGGACAAAACACAACAACAGGATAAGAACATACTTTTAACATAAAGCTACCGCCGGCTATAATTTTTAAATTAGTAATGAGAAGATGTAAAAACACTATTTCCACCGTTCACTCATTTAGCAAGGTTGTCTCACGCTCAAGATTTGCATTTTTTTAATACTTACAGAACTTCCAGATTCTTGACTCCTTCAAACGTCCGACTCGGAAGGCTTTGGATTTTGTTTCCCTTTAGAGTCCTAGGAAATTAGTGGCAAAGAAAACAGATGTCTTACGTAAGCGTGCGAGTATTTTGTTCGAGTACTCTACCAATCTGAAAAAATCCAGCCTGGTCTAGAAGTACCGATATTCGCTTGAAAATTTCACTAATCTGTTTATTTTATTTAAGTCTTTTTTCCTTTGGTCAGTTATCATCAGAATCATCATTAGTGCACATACCGCGCAGCCTAAGAGACGAAGTTGCGCGCCAACAGTTTGACCATTGCTCGGTAAATTGAAAGTAACAAATAATATTTTCGGTTATTTGCCTCGTACGTACTAACACAATTATCCACCTCCACCTTAGTGAATAAATATGCTTTGCTGACCGAGCGTGAGGTCATTATGGCTGGATACTAGCAGGGTTCTTTTTTGCTTTTTTATGAACCGAAGCGAAGTCCAGGTATATAGAACGAGGTTAATATCCAGCCTTATTGACCGGACAAGTTTGATCAATAAAGGACTTACTATATACCAAAAATGTCTATCTTTAATAAGAATCAAGAGGACTTGTTTATTTCGACAGCCGGGAAAGAAAGCTAAATGTGTGCGTGTAATTTCCTTTGTTTTGACTGTTTTCCGCCGCTTTTGCGACTCCAACGCAGACATTATCCAAAAGTTACGAACTTTGTAATTCCATTCCGAGAGCGGGACTAGCCAATCAGAACCCAGGATTCGCTTGATATTGCCTACGGGCGCTGCCAGCTACATAATAATTACTGATAATATATCTGAATTGATTGACTTACAAGTCCTTAAGATTTTCCAGATTTTGCAAAACCCTCTCTATCGATGTGATCTCGTTGTGCTCAATTTTTCTGTCGAAAGAAAAAACAAGACATTCGTCATTCAAAGTTAAGTACGCACGGCTTCACCTCAAAAAACTATTCGATAGATTCTAACAATTGTCAACCGAGTGTCGAAAGGAATGCAGGACTACATTGAATTTGCTTCACTGCGCAAAATAATCGAACTACTCTTTCAACCAATTAGATACAAAAACCAAACCAATTAGGACTTGGTGATGCGTGTTTTCCCGCGTTTATGAAGGTTTACATCTTTTTTTTTTTTACTTTGGGTTCTTCTAGGTTTCCTGTGATATTTTCCTTTATATGAGGCCGTTATAATTACTTTGGTATAAGCTTTACGCAACTAAATCGAAATGCGTTCTAAATGTTATACTTACAGAACAGACAGCGATTTACATTCGGAGAGGTCCGGTAAATGCCCAATTTGGTTGAAATCTAGAGTTCTGTAGAGATGAGAAGAACAGGCCTCATCAATATGGTTACGACCAAAATGGACGGGACTACGGAACTGAGCTCTTTGCTTGAATCAGCGAGCAGCGAAAAAAGGTTTTCTCGTTTAAAGGTTTAATTTTGACTAGATTAGTGAAACCTAACACGATGCACACGTCCTCTTGCAAAATCTGCTAAAATCATTCTTGCTCTCAATATAACAGCAATAGAAACTATCAAAATCACAGATAAAAAGGGGACAAGGCAAGCTATCTTTTATCTGTCGTTCTGCATTTCCAAATATCCAGGAGTGCGGTTAGAGTCGTTTGACAAATTACTTACAGTTCCACCAATTCCTTAAGATTCAGGCAAAGATTCCGAGGTAACTCTTTAATTTCGTTAAAAGTCAGAGTCCTGAAAAAAAAAAAAGCAATCAGACCACCAAATCATGGTAAGCTTTTAGAAAAGTTCCATAATAAAAAATCGAAGCTTACAAGTCTCATATTCCAATAATCTGAATTTGTCAAACCAAAATAGATCTCGTTTCTTAACATTCTTCAGCAATACATACAGGTACTGGAGAGAAGACGTTCCCGTCAGGTTTGGAAACATGTCCAAATTTAAACCAACCAGTCTCCTGAAAAACATCAAATTAGGAGGAAAAAAATAAAAATATGACCAAAACATAATTTCATGTGTTTAACGCTGTAATCGAAGAATTTATCCCAATCGTTCTTTTTCATAACCATACAACTCATTAATATCCAAAAATAATCATCATGCTAATCTGGGTTACAAATGGCAACAAGGGCAGTGGCGAGGCGGAGAAGAAAAGTAATGGGAAAATAATCTTTCGAAAAAACACGTCAAACGTATCAGGACTTACAGTCGGGTTTCCAGTTTTGGTAAGTTGGCAAAAGCATTGTGACCAATAGAGTTCAGTTTCTCCCAAGTGAAATGTCTGCAAAGTAATAAAAATAAATCAATAAATAGTGCCAAGCCACACGCGTTGACCCTAAATTTTTAGAAATGTAATGCGGAAATGTGGGGAACTAGTGGTAACATCTTGGGAGTGAAAAGGTAAAAAAAAGTTCGTATTTTGGTTCCGGTTCATGGTCCAATGGTATGCTTTCCGATGCCCTTTGAAAACACATCCTTCTGGACTTTGCAAGGAAACGCATTTATAGAAAATTTGCTCAGCTTTGACTTCAGATCTTATAGTGAATATATTTTTTTAGTAGAATTACACAAACAGCGGAAACCATCCAAGAAATGGGAAAGTGAGAGAAGAAGAGGAAAAAGAACGGGTGCTATCTAAATACTTACAGCGTCTGCAGTTTAATAAGTCCTTTAAAAGCATCGTCGGGAATTTTCTCGATCGGATTGGAATTAAGGTCCCTGTTTAAAAGGAAAAATAAAAACTCAAGTTGTGAGCGCAGGATGTGGACAACTGCAGGATTGATTGTCTCTTTAACCTGCCTAAAGTTAAATAAAAGATTAATTTAAAGCTTTATTTTTACTTGAAAACCAGTACCCTTTTAAACAATAATTAGTTAGTTAAAAAATAGTATACTGAATGAAACATGTTTGTAGAGAAGAGTTTAGAGCAATTTGAATTGAATGTCGTAAGTAATCCGGATTGCAATGATTTTTTTGTTCCGTGACAGCCAGAAGACGCGCGCCACTCTCTCAACCAATCAGAATCAAAACTAAAACCAATCACGAGTTGGAAACCCGCGTTTTCCCGCGTTTTAGACAGTTTGGTTGTTGTTGTTGTTTTTTTTTTTACTTGGAGATCTCATTGGCTCTGTAGGGTTTTGTTCCTTTCCTTTCCTTTAATTGGTCGTTGTGATTTTTTCGGTTTATGTTTTACGACACTCAATCCAAAACTGCACTACGAATGATCCTCAGAGGCACTTGTAGTAAGTAAATACTGAAGTAATGCTTGATGCCTAGACGGAGCTTGACGTCATGCATACAGTAAGTACGCCAAACAGACTTCCCAGACTCACTTCATAGTTTGTGCCTGACCAAAACAAGATATGAATAGCGAAAAATACTTACAAAAAGGAAAGTTACTTGACATCTTTGAGAGAAACAGGTACTTGGCTGAGGTTGTTATTTGACAAGTGTCTAAATCATGGAAGAAGAAAAACATTTTCTGAGCTTAATTCGTTGATGGAGCCTCTTTATCGCTCATTTACTACATTACCACTTTTGTAGAAGTAACCGTACGAAGAAATGCGCTCTTGAGACGGAAGTATAGTTCTTATCACATTTCTATTAGGTATACCTTGTACTTATTCTACTACTCAACCAATAATTAAATCTCGAAAAAATGAAGGTGAAATCATTACAATGTTCGCATGTACTCACAAATACTCCAAAGAGTCCAGCCCTTTGAATCCGTCGTCTTCGATCTCACTTATTTCATTACGAAAACATATACTACACGAAATAAAAGAAAGAAGATTAAAGATATAAAGTAAGATGAATGGAAAACGATATGAAAAGATTCCATTCTTTGTCTGTCCTAGAAAAATGAGTAAGTGTTAGTGTACTACAACCTGTTGCAAAAATGTCGAGACACCTTGAGCAAACGGTGCGTTTACTGACTTCATCAAATGGCAGAAAAGAAATTGAGTGCCAAAAAATAAAAAAAATAACAAAAAAAAAACGCTGCCCCCCTACCTCAATTGAATATTGTTCATCGAAGTTTTGTACATATTACCGCTAAGCTACCAACATTGCGCGGGGGGGGGAGGGGGAGGGGGATACATTATGTTGGATCGCAACGTGAATGTTTATCCCATGTCGCGGTAACAAATCACAACTACTTTGCAACTGGCTGTAGCTCTCTACAGCTGTCAACATATTTGCTAGTATCAGTATGATCTGAGGATATGTCTGTCTCACGAAAAGGTACTAAATATAACTTAAATTCTGTACTTTGTCTTAAATGGAGGAATTCTTTCCATTTAAAACTTCCACTCATGACTTATGAGCCTTTTAGTGCTCAGCGCCAGAAATACACGAGGCCACTATCCTTTTTAGGGAGAAAATCCCCACCCTAAATACCCCCCCCCCTTTAGTCCTCTTTTTACTTTTTTTAACCTTTTAAATCATAATCTCGAAGGACTTAGATACTCACAGCGTCTCAAGCTTGGACTGAATCTGGAAAGAACTGTTTCTTATTATGCGAATCCTGTTTGACTCGAGATTCCTGAAAAGAAAAAAGAGAAAGAGGAGCATTAAATTGCCGTTTAACTGTTAAACGGAGGAAGAACAAAATCACCCAAGGAGATGAATTTCCTCAAATAAAGTACAAACGTACAAATACTGAAGTTCTTTTAGACTTTCCAAAGCTTCTGCTGGGACTTCTGTAAGGTTGTTGTTATCAAGCCAGCTAAAAACAGACATAGAAGTACAGATATTGCAAAATATTAATAAGTCATCTAAAACGCTAAGTACATACGAAGGACTCCTGATACAGATACTTTAGAAAAAAAAATTGAAAAGGGTAGAGTTCAACAAATGCCGGACTGGGGCCAAGTTTACCTGAATATGGCGCAACTGACCTGAATTTCTTGAAAATTAAATCTTTTGCGTCTTGTCAGCTAACATTTTGGAATTCTTTTCAAGTAATGGAGTTATAAGCAACGATAAGAAAGGACTCAAAATATAGTTGCGAGGCTCTTTTAAATGGGAAGTTTTTTTATACCAAAGTTGAAAAAAAAATGTATCTCATGAACGTCAATATACGGCAGCAAGAATCGACAATATAAATTAATTCATGAAAGGGTCGAGAAATGGATATGCAACTGTAAACCACATAACAATCCTTTCAGCTTACAGGTGCTCAATTCTCGGAACGCCTTTGAAAACCCCAGCATCAATGGTATTCATTTTGTTTCCGGTTAAATATCTGTAAGAAAAAGGAAAAAAAATTAAATTTTAGTGCTTTCTCCGACTAAAAAACAAAAAAACGAAATTTTTGAAATTGTGACCAGATTTTGTTGACATTAACCATAAGTGGATCAAACTCGACATGGTTTTCAAGTACTTACAGGTCGTTTAAGGATTTCAGATGAACTCCAAATTCTGGACAAATCTTTAAGTTGTTATCTTTAAGTGACCTAAGAGGCGAGAATATACGAGGTTGATAGCAAATAATTTTCGTTGCACCTCAGATCATAAATGTCGAGTAAACGATTTGCCTCACAGGCAAATAATGAGCGAGGAATTATTCGGAGGTAACGAGAACTTACAGTTTCTCGAGGTGCTTGAGTCCTTTAAAGGCGTTAGGGTGTACACGATCCAGTTTATTTCCATTCAAAGTCCTAAAAAATAAAAAAGGACAAGAAAAAGCATAATAAAACGTTACTAAAAATGCCCTTCACGGCATACCGGAGCTAGAGCTCGTTCACTTGACTAACTTGGTGTTACTAATCCATGGAAAATAACCTGTGAGGAGTCAAGATTCGCCGTGAAAGTTGTTTGGTACCCATTTAAACTAAACATAGGCGATGTGGGATTTTACTTCAAAAATTGTCTCAATGTATTTATAAATGGCCGACGCATTGGAGAAACGTGGGACATTATGCTTTTGAACGTGCATAAGACCAGGTAGAAGCTTTCGAAATCATATTCGAGGAAAAATGAGAATTTAGAACTGAAAAAGTCAAAGAATTTTCCTTCCAAAAGGGTAGGAAGAGACACGAAGGGAAGATATATTTTGGAGGGCAGTTTCGTTGTAAGGAATTACTAGTTATGGACGAGCATTCACTCGTATCTGAACTGACTTTTTAAACAATTTCTAAAGAAACTGTTTTGCTGCGTCAGCGGACAAATGAAAGAATTTGCTCCGACCATGGGCTCACACTTAAAACTTTCGTTTTTCAAATTCGCTTCGGCGGCCGAACTGGCTTAATGCACTTGTAATGGATGAGCAGTTTTTCTTCCTTTTTTTTCTTTTGAACAAGCATCGGCATGGTTTGTGCATATTGAAAAGTTATGCCTACATCTTTTGAGCTTAGCTTGCAATTCTTTTAACAATTTTGAGATATTCTGCCCCATTTTTAACCACTTTGTTCTATTTTGGTTTCAGAATTTGTCTCCTTTTTTTTCTTAACGAACTGATGTTTTGTAATCTGAAGATAAAGTCAACACCAAGCTCCTTTGAATGCTAGTCCAGTTTAAAACTTCCTGAGTTTTTTTAACCCAAATCGTGTCCTTCGTAAAGCTTAACTCGGCAATTAAGATAAAACCATTGATCATTTCTAAGTCTCACCGCTAACCGTGTGGGTGGTGAAATCGATGCTGTTTTCGACATTAAAATAAAGCTGATTTTTTTTTTTTGCGGCGTCCGATTATGATTGGTAAATGACACGAAGGGTTTGAATCAGGACCACAAATCAAATTGTAGACAGAAGCATTGCCACATGCGAAAGGAAACAAGGATTATAGAAAACAATTTCTAATGTTTCAAAGTTTCCGCTTTTAAAAAAATATTTTCGTTTCATATTTGCATGATATGTTTGACTTTGAGGTCCAAGCCATTATTATTCTTTGTTCTACACGAATTTTAGGCTGTTTTGGTTTCGCAAATACAGCTTCGTTTTAGCAACAAAACTAAACAGTAAAACTTTTGAAAAAGTGCTCTTAACAGATATCATTTAGGACAGTTTTTCCTACACGCTTCATTTTGTAAATTATCCATTTGTGCCCAGCTCTCCTCCTTCTAGTAAGGGCAATGCTACTAATAAGCCAAAAAGGACCCCATTCATTGCGTCAAAAGCCATACTCTGGGTTACAAATTATGACACGCATCACGTACATAAGTTGTCTCAAGCGTCTTGTGTGGCAAAACACAAAAGAGAGTTCAAATCTAATAAACTGAATTACTTTTGTCTTTCGGCACGAGCTCTGATTTCTTGTAAGTCTCAGTACTTCCCAGTGCTTTGATCATGCGCGTTCAGTGACCTGACTGCCACCGAAATAAACCTCTTTTGTAAGGTCGTGGTCTGATGTGTTCATCCTCTTTCAACTTAGTAATTATTGCGCGTAAATCCTTATGTACACTGTAATATATAACAGGTTGTCCCAGTAACTCTTTCAAACAACAACAACACCGTTGACTTAGATCCACGTGGCATTCATACGCCATTATAATTTTTTACACAACTTTTCAGGAGCTGGCACAGAGACCATCAGAGATAAAACAAAAAAAACAAAAAAAAAAAACAAAAAAAAATCAAGAAAAAGTTATTTCACTCACACTGATTTATGTTGTAACTTGTCTCAACTAGGAGTCTCGATTCAACTAATTGTTGTAATGATATTACACGATACACTCAATTCAATGACAACCATCTTTTCTTTTATTTTCAATGACCCTTTTTTCTCGCAGGAGGGTTTTCAAATGACAATTTTAACTTTGTAGTGTCCTCTGTCTCTGGATAAAAATTTGATCTCATTAGTATTTTTTTGTCGCCGGATATTATTGTTTTGGATCTGATCTTTGAGTGAGTCCGCCGAAACTCTCCCTTTCACGTGATAACAACATGAAGTAAATCAACATTCCGTCTATCGGTATTTTTAACCCAGTAAGAGCCTTTACGCTACAAGTTTTTAATAAATTCCCTCAAGAGCATGACAAATTAATGACGCACAATAATTTCATTGTCTAAAATGAGAGAGTTCGAGGAACACTTAAGTTTTTTAATTACTAAACATGCCGCAAGTAGGTCATCAAAAAAAAAAAAAAGAACCCTCGCTATCACGTTAGGCTTAATATGCTTTTTTGAAGTAGAAAAAAGACTGCAACAACGATTAATTCTTCTAACGTTGTTTTCTTAAACATGTTTAAGTCCATTAAAATGATTATGTGTTTTCTGTATACCTCCCGGGAGAGTGAAAGCGTGTGTGGTAATTTTGACTTAAGATGACCCTAAGTAAAAGCTTTGAGGAAGTTATCTGGACATTTTCAGAAACATTCAGAAACAAAATGTTTTCTGTTATCGGCATCTCTCATCGAGACTATGGTAATGCCGGATGTTCGTATAAGTGCTATTCCCTACTCCATGTATCATTTAGTTTTGCTTGACAGAATTAATTCTCCGTCACGGATAGGCGGCTTCTTTTAGCCGGCTAACAGTAGGCAAATAACTGGTTACCTCACGATATTTCGTGTCTTTTCTAGGGCGAGAAAAATGATCTTTTTTGGGTAGGAAACCACGCATTATCAGACTGGAAAAATAGAAAAACCACAAAGGGAAGAAGACACTAAAAACCGGAAAGCAGCGAAGACGGTTAATGCGATGGAACAGATCGCCACAAATAAAGACTTTATGGGTTACCTAAGGATATCGAATTCATGTTAGACAAGTCAAGCAACTAGTTTTACTAGACTTCAGAGTCGCTTTTTCTTTCACTTCACACAGACCTTAGCAGAACAGTCACCACCGATGAAAGAACACGAGAAGGGTACATTAAAACTAAATTTTAAAACAAGTAGCGGGGGTTTGGTAAATCATGACACTGCAAATTTAATTTAGCCTCCCATGCTCAAAACACCCCTACTGGTAAGCTAATAATTTTGAAGAATTGAATGTCATTTTTTATTTAAAAAAATAATCGCGTCTTTCCGGTTGAAGAGAAGATAGCGGAGTGCTCTTGACTCCCGGATGCTTATAGTTTTTCAGATTATAAAGATGAGGCCACCTTTAGTGAAACTATAGCTCCATCCTGCCTAAGAGTTATCAATCTTATTTTTATTTCTTTCACGTGCGATCAGACTAGAGCATGGAAAAAAAAAAAAAAAAAAACATTAAACGTAAGCCAGCGGAAGTGAGATCACGCGATCAGGCGTTCTCTCTTTTTTCTCTCACGCCGACATTTCCCTCCTGGGGCTTAGCGCCCCCACCGGAAAAGAACGCCCGATGGCATGTTGCACACCAGTCGCTTAACCTAAGGATAAATCGATAGATCTCTACCTGAAGCATGATAAATTTCGCACTAGGAAAGTTATAAACGCATCCTCTAGAATGATGGGAATCTGTTTAGTGTCCTCATTCAGGAGTACATCTGGATTAAGTAAATCTAATGTGATCTAGCTTACTATAAAATTGCGTGTGATTACCCTTCATTAGTTGACAAAAAAAATAGACCTTGATAAACACTTTTGAACACGATTTTATTCTCCTATCAGACAATATCAGAGCCTTAATGGGGAAGAATTCCCTGTAGCATGGTTATTTTGCAAGATGACTGACACTAATACATGACAACAGTACATAGATACTTTGTTCAATGCACTCAAATTAGAAAGGCCTTTTTTAGGAAAACAAGACAAGAAATGGAACATGAACGCAAAGGTTTACTCAATAAAAACTAATAATAACGTGTAAAGACTATTATTAGGACCTAGATGTCTATCACAGCAGAAATGATACTATTATATTTTCAAAGAAGAATTCCCACAAAGGCTCTCTTGAACCAGAGCTCCTGGAACACGATGACTCCTTATGTTTTTCGAACCACAACAAACCAGGTAAAACAGTGATGGGTTCCATCATTTCAGAATAAATCGAAGACAATTCGAATTCTATATGATCATGTGAGACATCGCCACGTTACTTTTAAACTTTGCATAAAAAAAAAAAAACATAGAATAAGTCCCAATAAAAAGGCGCAGAGATTTAAAATCTTAAATTGGTAATTTAATGCCTATCGGCTTTCTTTCATTTTTATTAATAGTTAAAAATAGCCGTAAGCTGCTAATTTCTCTTGAAAATAGAAGAATTGTAATAATGTGAGAAAAGAATAGGTGAAAATCATGAATTGATAGCCTGTCAGATGCCTAACGCCTCTTGAAATTTGTCGGCAACTTGAAGATTTAGCTTTGATGTCCAAGTCAGTCTTTCCTTTTGTCAAACGCGTTAATCTTCTCTCTTCTGTTTGGTTTATCATTTTTGCCTGATTAAATCATGGATTAGCGAAACAACGTTTTGCTTTTTTTTCCGAGTTCAAACTGTATTGATGGTAATTTTGTCAGCCTGAGAAAAAGCTTATTAATATCGCAACATAATGAGATCAATGAAATTCGAATTCTTAGTACAGAATATTCCAAAACAACTTAAGGTTTGAGTTTGATCACACAAATCTATCAACTATAAACTTTTACTGTCTTACAAAATGCCTGCGAAGCTTTTTTTTCTACAGCAAGGCACTCGTTAAAACCCTATAAAGTTATTCCGTAAAAAAATACATTAAAACGATTTTATGAAATCAAAGAGAATAGTGCGAAATGATTTTTATTGAAACAGGGATGAGAAGGTTA